TATAAAATACTAAACCGAAACTTGTTCTCTTGTAGTGGAGAGAAGAGAAAGGAATGAAAAGAGACCCATACAAGGATGACCAACTCTTAGAGCTCGTCGGCGACCTTTGCAACTTCATATTGGACTAGATTGTACACGTCAGAGGCGCCTACCATGACCGAGAATCTGAGTTAGGTACAAGTCCTCAGTACCAACACCTTCGTGAGACTGAAAGGCTAGCTCTAGGACGTTGATAACAATGTGTATGGAATTTGTATATTTAATGATGGATTGTATATATTCTTGTGAATTGGACTTGTAATTGTAGTTTATATAATACTCTTGTGCTTGTAGTCGCGGTCGCGGGGCGTTTGGCAACGCGAACGTGGTTCGGAACGTTGGTCGCGGGACGTTCGGCAACGAGATTTTGAATTGTAAATTTGATTTTTCTTTTTTGCAGGAAAACGTACTGTAGGGGCAGTTAACCGCCCCTACAAATACCTGTTTATAGGGGGCGACTGGTACTACAGCCGCCCCTATAGATCGATTTGTAGGGGCGGCTGATAATACGAGCCGCCCCTACAAATCGATTTGTAGGGGCGGCCTGAGAACCGCCCCTACAAATGCATGATTTGTAGAGATCCTTGCGTAGGGGCGGCTGGGCAAACCGCCCCTACAGAGCCTCTGGAGCCGCCCCTAAAAATCATATTCTACATAGTGTATGAAAATTACCTACATGTACCGCAATACAAATTCGGTACTGGACTTACCTTACCTGTATAACAAAGTTATGAGAATACAACGGAGATAGCAGGGCTTACCGTTTTAATGTAAGAAAATTACACCCAAGTACCGCAGGGCAAAACAACCGAACACTTTGTAATGAGCTGGTAAACAACTACTGGTCGGGTCTGCCCAATCCGGTGGGCTCTAGACTGTGCTTGCAAGTCCATAAATGGGTTCTAGCCCCTGGCACCAGATGTCGCCAACGGGCTCGCGGTAGGACGGGCAAGTCCTGCAAATGCGAACGCGGCAGGCATCGCACACGACGTGCTCATTCTTGCACTAGCTAACAAACGCGAGACGAATCAACGATAGATCACCACTGCATGGTGCATCAGCCGCGCAGCCGCAAGTGCACACGCACGCAGTTTGATTTTGCAAATGCAAAGTGAATGAAAGGCTAAAAGATGTGAGTTTGCCTAGAAGATCGGTCCTTGGAATAGGGAGAAGCAGATGGGGCACTCAAACGCGTCTAGATCCATTGTTTTTCTCGTCGCTCTTGATCCGGTCGAGACTTGCGTGAGAATGAACACCCACCACCTATAAAAGTGACCGTCGGAATTTGAAGGACAATGGCGGGACCAAGATTTCCACACTGGGTATTCAAAATATAAAAAGGGTGTCAAAAAAATTCTTGAGAAAATAAACTCCAATAACGATAACAAAGCAAGTACTCCTCTATGCCACAATCAACTAATTGCCATTTCCATATGGCCCCTTTTGGTTTTCTTCTAGTTTATTGAATTCTATGCAATTTTTCAATCACTCTACATCTATTCATAATTCTTGTACTTCAAAAAACTGACTTGAGAGAACCAAAGAACTTGCTTAATGCACTCATGCTGGATATGATAAATCCTAGGTTTCTTCCCATTGAAAAGCACATAGCAAGGGGCTATGGTAGGCCCCTATCCTACCATCGAAAGTTGATAGGGCAAAAATTTGAATGATGCATCTCTACCACGAGGGTTGTGCGATCCGTCAAGTTATCATCAATGATTGAATCAACGCAGAGCCCGCGTCAACCTTTTATCAAAATGCACCCCTCCCAGAAGTCGGGTTTCTCTTGTATCCAGAGCGATGGCTTGCTTTGAGCACTCTAGGGCGTGCATGTTTGATATCCGTCCTGAAGTTGGCTCGGCGCGCAGGCATAGACAAGCCAGCCACTGCCTGTCCCAAGTGGTGAAACTGCACTTGTTTGGTTTCCTATACAAACAAGACCAGACCCATAGAAGATTGTGTTTGATTCAACAGCAGGGAGCCAAGCCCAACACCAACTAACTGCAACTATCATAGCGAGATCGTGTTTGATCTCAGTGAGGCCAGAAACTAGGGAGAAGAGCACACAAATGAAACAACAGATATCATAGTGGTAACAGAAATTCATTGAACAAATAAAGTAGTGTTGCATTACAAATAAAATACAGCTTGCAACATACAATTAGTGTTGTTGAAATTAAGAGCCTCAGACACAATAATCAATTAACCAATTGAGCCATCCCATCCATCATCTAGTTTTAGTGTCATCACAGGCCTAAGTATGGCAGTTGCACTGCCCAGTCTTGCTCACCCTCATCCATGGTCCAAACACCATGATCACAAGTGTGATGATTACCAAAATTTTCCAACAAGTCTTACCATGAATAGGAAGAATGCCTAGACAACAATCTTCTTGGGGCAGCTTAAAGGAGAGGGGAGCTGCTTCTCCCAGAGATGCATTGAAATCTCTCACTGCCTCCTCATAATTCTTGTGCTTCAAAAAAACTAGCTTTAGAGAACCCAATAACTTGCCCAGGCTAGCCACTGCCTGTCCCAAGTGGTGAAACTGCACTTATTTGGTTTCCTGTACAAACTGGACTAGGCCCATAGGAGATTGTGTTTGATTTAACAGTAGAGAGCCAAGCCCAACACCAACTAACTGCAACTGTCATAGCGAGATCTTGTTTGATCTCAGCGATCCAGCAACTAGGGAGAAGAGCACACAAATGAAACAACAGACAGTATGGCAGTTGCACTGCCCAGTCTTGCTCACCCTCATAACGAGATCGTGTTTGATCTCAGTGAGGCCAGCAACTAGAGAGAAGAAAACACAAATGAAACAACAGATATCATAGAGGTAACAGAAATTCATTGAACAAATAAATTAGTGTTGCATTACAAATAAAATACAGCTTGCAACATACAATTAGTGTTGTTGAAATTAAGAGCCTCAGACACAATAATCAATTAACCAAGTGAGCCATCTCATCCATCATCTAGTTTTAGTGTCATCACAGACCTAAGTATGGCAGTTGCACTACCCAGTCTTGCTCACCCTCATCCATGGTCCAAAACCACGATCACAAGTGTGATGATTACCAAATTTTTCCAACAAGTCTTACCATGAATAGGAAGAATGCCTAGACAACAATCTTCTTGGGGCAGCTTAAAGGAGAGGAGAGCTGCTTCTCCCAGAGATGCATTGAAATCCCTCACTGCCTCCTCATAATTCTTGTGCTTCAAAAAAACTAGCTTTAGAGAACCCAATAACTTGCCCAGGCTAGCCATTGCCTGTCCCAAGTGGTGAAACTGCACTTGTTTGGTTTCCTGTACAAACTAGACTAGGCCCATAGGAGATTGTGTTTGATTTAATAGCAGGGAGCCAAGCCCAACACCAACTAACTGCAACTATCATAGCGAGATCTTGTTTGATCTCAGCGATCCAGCAACTAGGGAGAAGAGCACACAAATGAAACAATAGATAGTATGGCAGTTGCACTGCCCAGTCTTGCTCACCCTCATCCACGGTCCAAACACCACGATCACAAGTGTGATGATTACCAAATTTTTCCAACAACAAGTCTTACCATGAACAGGAAGAATGCCTTGACAACAATCTTCTTGGGGTAGCTTAAAGGAGCAGGGAGCTGCTTCTCCTAGAGATGGATTTGCCGACCTAGGCAGACGACAACACAAGGCAACCCCACAAGCGCCCTGGAGCCGACGAGCCACACCCAGAGGATGTGCTTGACATAAATATGTTCTGTCCTCGCAACTTCCCATGCAACAAGTAGCATCTCACAAGCACTTTTCAATGCAGCAAGCAAAAGGTGCCCGCACAAATGAAGGGACACTGGCGCCGGGAGTCGACCGCACATCACGGGGGTCCTCCAAGCAGTCATAGGTCTAAAACAACTCATGCGCTAGCGTATCCACGACGATTTAGCCATCCAAAGCATCCCTTCGTGCTAGGCACGGTGAGTCTGCTTGCGAGGACGACAACTAAAAGTCCACAGAGCACGACAGAAACCGAAACTTATCCAACAACGGACCAAAAGCATGCAACCAAAACTGTTCCAACAACACATACTCCTCCCAAGCTAGTCGGGTGCCCATAGAAGCCTGCAGAAGCAGGCCACCATAGGCTACTATGCAGCGAGAGAGACCGTGAGTCACCGAAATAGTTCCAACAACACGCTTGCCACCCTAGCTAGCCAGCCACCCGCAGCAGCCTGTCAAACCAGGCCACCGCAAGCTGCCGGCCAGCCAGGGAGGCCGCGCATCATCGAAACAGTTCAAACAAAAAGCTACCCACCCTATCCAGCTAGCTGCCCGCAGCAGCCCGCTGAAGGACGACACCGCAGGCTGCTGACTGGCCAGGGAGGCCACGAGTCAACAACACGCTGGCCACCCCAGCTAGCCAGCCAGCTATACATCGCGATGAGAGCGCTGCGCACAAACCCATCGCCAGCGAGCGCGAACCACACCACATCACCATGCGCAGCCCATCCGAGCCACGGCTCACGCGCAGTCGCACAAGCCGGGAGCACAATTGGGTAGGTGTAATGGTCCGGTATCGGTTGAGATGGTTTGGACATGTCCAACGGAGACCTCCAGAGGCACCGGTGCATAGTGGAATCCTAAGCCAGAATAGTAACGTGAAGAGAGGCAGAGGAAGACCGAAGTTGACTTGGGTAGAGCCAATAAAAGGAGACTTGAAAGGATGGAATATACCCAAAGACTTAGACTTAGATAGGAGTTCTTAGAAAACAGCTATTCACGTGCCTGAACCTTAACTGCTTCTGCTGGGTTTCAACACTAGCCTACCCCAACTTGTTTGGGACTTAAAGGCTTTGTTGTTGTAATGGTCCGGCACGACGCCCGCAGCACGCATCCGCTTGTAGAGGGCGAGGGTGTCAGCGGCGTGCGACGACTGGGAGTGGCCGTGCGCGCGGAGGAGGGTGTTCCACATGTAGGCATCACGTACAGGCGCGACGTCGAACACCCTGCATGTGTAGGCGAGGGAGGCGAGAGCCACGCCGGCGAGGAGGCCGGTGGCTAAGGCCAGGTTGGCGGATTACACCGAGGACGATGGTGCGGGCATGGATGTGGAGGAGGGCACGCAGGGAGACTAGGGAGGAGGCAGAGGCAGCAGTGATGAGGCGGGTGTAGCGGTGGACGAGGGTGGACTTGATCTTCTCCACCACATGGGGGAGGACCCTGATGCTGTCATCGATAGATCTGCTGACACTGGTTTCCAGTTCCTGAGTTGCATCTGTTTTCATCTTCTGGAGTTTGGCTGCTTCAAACTTGTCTTGACAGACCATCAATGACCGGTTCAACAGTTCCTGAAGCAAGGGGCAATGATTAACAAAGATATAGGTGACATGATAGCTTATGCAGAGAAATACATGCATAATCTAACCCTAAAATAGCAATAGGCCAAAACAAGGTTCCTATGAACCTACTGGAAGATGAATTACAGTTGGGCATTATTCATGTAGTTGTTCACCTAGAAAGGGCATAGTTTTTGGTTCAAAGTAACAAGATGTGTAACATTGATCTGTTAAACTTGCTCGTAAATAGCGATCGTAAAATTTCAAGCCGGGAACAGTGTTTTTCTCTCACACCAAACCAGCCAGCGATAAATAATCCCACGATACGATCGGCCTTCCGAACAGGCTGATTGTGTCTCAGACATGATTCCAGATACTTGGGACAACCATCTTCAATAACACTGACACCCACTAATAAATCTTTTATGACAAAATAACCAGGTGGATAACAGTTGGCATGCGACCTCAAAAGGTGCTAAGATTGCTTGTCAGAAGTACAATGTGCATAGGGACGAAATAAGAACTAGATTGCTGCAGGGGGGAAACCTTCTAAAATTCGTACTATTGTGTCACTGAGATTATGAAAGCATATTCATTAAACAAAATAACTATAGCAGCAAATATACTGCTCGTGAATCCTAAACTATCTTCTATGAAGAGGACTTTACCATATGACGTATAATGGCATTAATATATGACTGAAAAAACATTGAAATTATCATGCATACGCAACTTGGAAAATATGACGGTTTATTTATCGAGTGGTTGCAATGATCAACAAAATCAGAGCAAAATGGAGCACACAAAACAAATATTAATAGTAACTTAATATTCAGAAAGATTTCATAGTAAAAAGTTACAGGTATGAAACTATTAACTTCACTGCATCAGAAAAATAACCAATCATAGCTTCAGTACTACACAAACACAAAGGAATTCAGTACCTAAAAAAGGATGAACAGAGAATTCTATGTTGTTCTATTTGGCAAAAAAAAATGATAATTGTATTGCAGGAAATTAGAAGTACCTGAAACTTGGCCATCTCATTCTCAACAACATTGTTGGCGGTAAGGACAGGCAAACTACAATTCTCCACACAGCTGTTGATCCCTTCCTGAGTACGACGCCGGTCAAAGCAAACATATGCGCACTTGAAGTATGCTCGCTGAAAACCAATCAGAATAAAACAGAAATTCAAACAATAATTAGCACTCAAGTGTTTCGATTTGGGAGCATGCCCCTTCCCCTCCTACAAAGATATCAAGCATATCAACAGTTTTACTAATAAATTATCCTCAGACCAATAACTAATACTGTGAGTCAAGGTAACTTCAACAATTAGTCTAAAGTAATTTCCTCTCATATCTAGAAATTGTGCGAAGAAAATAAACACAATAGTGAACAATTCCAGGAGTGACAGTTACTGCTAGTTACTAGCACAAAACAATAAGGTGACACTAGCAGATTTCTAAGAGATGGCAGAAAAAATATGCACCAAAAACTATGTTCACATATCTCAGAAATTAGCGTCCATTCTCCACTACTGCAATGCTGCTCTTCCGACATTCCTAAGTACAACACCCACCAAATTCGCGCACATTTACAATTAAAAGGAAGGCAAATAAACTTATTCAGGGACATGTAATTGCATCAGACAGAATAAATTACCCAAAACTCGCACCCAACCCTGAACCTCCAATACTCCGTATCACATTAACGGGCCACTACCCCCATCAGTGGACCATCTAAAGAATCCGGACAAATTTCAACAAGAGTAGTGAAAATTATCGCCTCCTCCACCCTACAATTCCCTATTAGAGTAGGAAACCCCAAAAATCCGACCAAAGTTCTACAACCAATCCAAGATTACGAGGCCTACCAGGCAACCGCAGCTATCTCGCTCCGCCCTCCCCAACACTACGTCACGACCTGCTCCTCCATCGCGCTCAAGGGGTCCATCGCGCTGCCCGCCTGGTTGCTTCTGGAGGCCTTTCCGAAGAAGAGCAGAAAAGTGACGGACGAGGGGAGGAATGGGGTGTGTATGCTTCTTTTCTTTGTTGGTTTGTTGGTGAGGAAGACGGCACTACGGCACGCAGGACCGCAGGAGGAGGGTTTAAGGCCAGGGGCTAGGGTTTTATGGATCTGGCCCATGGGCCGAAACCGACCAACAGAGTAGTGAGTGCATCTCGGAGGAGCTGGAAAAAGACAATTTTACGTCTATAAACTATGGCATTATGGTATTTCTCTTCAAACATCATAACAGGAGATTCTACCCCTTAAAAATTTTCAACCATAATGCTTCCGCGTGGTCGTCTGGATGGATGGATACGGCTTCCTACTCCGCCTTGCTGCTGTCGCGCCCCATCCGGCGCCGCTCGCTCCTTGCTCGGGTCGTCACGCGCCCCACCCATGCCTCTCACTACTTGTCGTGGCCGCGCACCCTGCTTTCTCTGGTGCGCACCCTCGACTAGGCGATCGCTCCTCGATCTGGCCGAGCCCCTTCTCCCTCTGGTGCGCTCCCCGACAGGGCAGCCGTCGGGCTGGCTACGCTGGCCGCGCATGCTACGGCTGCCATTGCTGCCTCCTTCTCCACCGCGACCCATGCAGTCGGATCCAGCTGTGTAGTGTTCCGTCCGCCCATCCGCCTGTCAAGGTTTACTGAAAGCGCATGTTGCAAGCATCTCTTTCTATTGTTTCAAATGTTTCAGAGGTACGTTGCAAGTGTTTCATATAGAAGGGTGCAAAAGTTGATCGAGATATTGCATAAGTTGCACTAGTTGTACACATACGTTGCAAGCGTATGTTCCCAATGTTTTATCTGTTTTTCGGACGTATGTTGCAAGTATATTTATCTGGATGTTGCATATGTTTCACACATATGTTGCAAGTGCTTTTATCTGGATGTTGCGTATGTTTGCAATGGTTTTCAAGTGTTTTCAGATGTTTTTGCAAGTGTTTTAGACGTATGTTTCAAGTGCTTCATCTGTCTTCAGACGTATGTTGCAGGTGTTGTATCTGGATATTTGAAAAGTAGATCGGGTGTTGCACATGTTGCAATGCTGCCGGTGGCTTGCGGACAGCGGCCTGCCGTAGGGCTTCAGAGCTCCTTCCTCGCGCGGCACGCCTCACCCTCTCCTCTCCTCTCCCTCCCATCCCATCCCTTCCCTTCCTTCCCTTCCCTCCATCTTGACATGATAGTTCGAGCTCGGCGAGCGTGATGATGTGGACGCCCGACGAACGCGATGCCCTTGGAAGTGGTGGCCTGATGAGCGTGCGGAGGTGGTGGCCCTACATGGGCCGATGGCAGCGCGATGCCCGCGTTGTGGTCTCGCAGCAACATGAGGTCTGCACCATCCGCTCGTTACGCACGGGAAATAGAGCAGGCGTCCGGACGTGGACGCCCGGTCGCTAATCCTACCCAAAATTTTCAAACTCGTTCAAATTATTTCTCTATATATCCTAGTTTAGAGTGGTCTTCATAGCGGTTTTGTCACTTTTTAGTTAAAAAATTGATAAATACTTGATAAAATTTTTAAAACCACAAACAAATGTCTTAAAGCTTTTAAAAAAAGTGGTCGACCTAATAACTCCGTTGGGTGCGTTTAAGTTCGTACAAGATAAAAACGCTAAGATTTTAAATCGTAGATTGAATCTCAATAGTGGTTGGCTTGTGTGAGCTCCAAAGAACACCTCCGGTACGAAAATGGACCCTAGGTCATTAAATTTGATTTTGGTATTTGATGAACAACATAGCTATTTGGACTACTATTATTTTTCTAGTATACAAGGTATAATCCAAATTATCAACACCTGGAGCAAGACGTATTAGAAGACATGTTGAAGGCCTAAAATTCATGCTAGAAGTCCAAGACACAACATAAAAGGAGCTCGAATGAATTAAAATAGAGGCTGTTTGGCAGCACTAGATTGGTCCGGTGGTGACCAAGAGGAGGCACCGGACTAAGTATTAGCATTTATATCTTCAAATAAATTTATTATAAAAATATATTCCGTAACTAATCTAACGGTACTTATCTTGTGTCGTGAATGTTTGTACTTTTTATATAAATTTAGTTAAAATTTAGACTATTTAACTCCTCGATAAGCGAGAACTGCATTCATTTCTAGACGGAGTGAGCTGTAAAGAAAAGCTAGAGGATGAGTCGAAAGAAGGCAAAAAAAACACAACCCAAAACAATTAGGCGAGGTGAACTAGTCTAATTTTGTTTGGTCCAACAACTTGGCCCACTAGTCTAAGAAACGCACTTTGGGGCAGGCTGGAGAAAATGAGGAATAATGCGCCAGGTAGCCAGACTTGCCAGTTGCCAACTTGCCACAGATCAAAGCCCATATATGGTTTTGTTAGTTATATCCTTGTCCTTTCTGAAAGCAAAATACAGCCGACTTTAATTTTTGGTATTATCTTCTTCTCTGCATGCAAATTGCAAGGATCTGCAAAAAAGAACTGTAAAATCCATATAGCATTTCTGGGAAAAAAAATGTAGGAATCAGAAAAACAATTAAAAAAATCAACTTTGAAACCCCTTTTAATCATGTAGTCTCAGAATTGTGTTTTCCTGTCACAAACAAGGATTGAGCCACGGACAGAAGTCTCAACCATTCAGACGAACAATATATATAGTGCAGGCCGGGTCAATCTAGGCTTTGACCTACTGTAGTTAGTAGTAGTTGGAAAATGGACTGGTTCTGCTGTCTAAAAAAGGTTCTTTGAACATGGACATGTTCTAATGATGCATGATGCATAAAAAACTGCTTTCGGAAGCAGCCGTTGGTCTGCGGAGTTGAGTAAGCGGTTTGGTTTGGAAAAGGAAAGCAGCAGCAAAAGCACCTGCGTTCAGTTGCCCGGTCGCTGTTCTTGTACGTGCTACACGTTCGCAATACCTTCACAAGTCTGAATAAATTATGAAAAGACCTCTTGCATTGACAGCATCCCAAGCTATAGTATCGCACGTACTACTCGATCTGCTTCCATTATTTGTCTAACTTTGTTTTGCCCATTCCCTGTATTTGTTGTTGTTTTAGTGAACGACGCACGTTACCAAATATGTGTGTGTGGTACAGAAATATTGTCAGACATATGATACTTGTGTTCATGTATTATGCATGCAATAACAAAGGCATGGACCGATCTACCTGCTGTTGATTGGTCTTCCTCAAGGACTAATTTGCGCTTTATAAAAAGGGCGAGTATGATTTTTTTCCCTTTTCTTTTATACATCCCCACACTTCCTTTATGTACGGGTTGAATCACTTTTTTCTAAACATGTATAAGCTCACATTGAATGCACGCACCTTGCCCATATGAATGCACTTATGGACCCTTGCACGTAGGGATGAAAATTGTACGGAAATATCATGTACCGATCCACATCGTTTTTTATATTTAATCGATCGAATTTGTATTTTTGGACAAGTTCGAATTCGGTTTGAAATTCGGAACATTAAATTCGAAATCGGAATGAAAACGGTTTTGACATTTTTTCAACCGTTTTCTACTTCTCTACTTTTAATTCAGAATATCCTGAATTCAAAATTGTGTTCCGAAATTCGGTTTAAACCTAATTTAGGCCACCAGAAGTCCAGCCTTGGAAAAATTATATTTTTTCATAAGATTTCGAATGAAGATGATTTTTATATGAAAATTGTAGCTCTCGACGAGATCTACAACTTTCTAGTTTTTAGTTTTTTCATTTAAGGTCTTTAAGATGTTCAAAAAAATAAAACAAAGTTTCAACAGTATATTAATCATGTACGAGCGTTTGTTGCCTTAGAAAAATCATACCTTTCTTACATGGTGTCGAATGGAGATACTTTTAAGAAAGTTATAGGGCTTGTTAATTGTTATGTACTTAATCCTACGGGTCAATATTCCGTATTGATTTTTCATGTAACGACCGTGTTCGATATAGTTCCGCTCGAATTAGTTCGTTTTCGAAATTCTTGATATTCCGTAGGTTTGTATTCGTTTTCGTGTCCAGCTTTACCGCTTTCGATTTCATTTTCATATTGAAATGTAGAAGTATAAAACGGTTACAGGTTTCGCGATCGTTTTCATCCCTACTTGCACGTATATGTCCTATATATCCCTGTGAACTGATCAAGCGAGCATATCCTATCTCTATAAAGCACGTCTGAGAGACTGGTTCATGGATCACAGAGGACGAGACGGATTCATCCTGAAAAAAACGTAGTGTTTAGTTTAGAGTCCATGGGGATATATAGGATGGTCGTCCCTAGATACCAAAAAAATTTGAGAGGAATTTCATTGTCCATTTGGTATTTGCCGTATTGGTAGAAACAACCTTTTGAATAGGCATTCTTAGGACGCAAACAACTACATGTGGAAATCTAATAAAATATACAAACTAACAAATGCTTCTCATAACTAGTTAAGTTGGATTGGAAGTCTTCTAGCAGCCAGCTTTACTTGGTTAGAAAGGGACAAGACACAAGAGATGGCATGTGCAGGTAGCTAGCCCACAGAAGTACCACCAATGTCCAATGTTCGAGTGTTTTATACAACTCCACCAACCACAAGGCAGGGCCAAACAACTCCTTGTAACGACCTTTGCTTTTGACACATTGACTTTTTTAACACATTCTAATGTTGAATTGTGAAACATCCAAAGACCTTGGCACTGGTCTACGGTAGGTACATCAATTCAAATGGAACCTTGTACTATTTGGGGGTTCCAAATGGGGATTCTCAAATTTAGAGGATACGTATATACCATCTAAAGAAAAGAGGTTGGTTGGGGGAGGGATGATTTAAGTAGAGGCTGGGCTCCACGTAAGCAATCCAGTCTGATCTGTCTGTGATTAGTGCTCCTAGTACACAGTAAGAGGCACTTAGCGTACGTGTAGCTTTAACTATGAAATAATAAACATTTATATTCTTGGTACTGGAAGACGTGGCACACCGCATCTTTGGAATATCA